TTTTTCAACCTTTTTGTCATCTCACGGCACACTTAAACCTATAGATAAACTTCCGTGGCACACTTACATTATGTTGATTAAAAAAGAGAATTAAAAAAAAAGAAATATACTGTTAACTTCTTTCAAAAATAATTTAATTAGTGGTCTTTAAAGATTTTCGTGGCACACCTAAGGCACACCAGTTGAAAATCACTGCCTTAGAAGCTATTCCCATGTCCCTCTCATCTCTGCAAGTTCTTCCTCCCCTCTCTTTCCAGGAGCCTATGCATTCCTCATCCAGTAGACCCTTTCACCGCATCCCTAAAACTTGCTTGTAAGTGCTGAGTGTCTGTCTTCCTTGAGAAGGGGTAAACTCCCTGAAGAAATGGGCTCAACAGTGCTCATGCTCAGCCCCTCCTTCCACAGCCTCCACAACCCTTGTCTTCTTTTCCATATCACCCTAACCTAGAGGGAGGTTGGGGAAAGCAAGGAGAGGCAGTGCCTTTACTGGCGTGGCTCCAGTGCATACGCTGGGAAGTGTGGAGTCAGCCTCCGCCCTCACTGTGGGAGCCTGAGCACAGGTCAACCTGGGAGAGCCTCAGACACCATGTGCCACCTGCAAGGAGGGCTCAGCTCCTAGAGACTCCCTGTCTGAGGGTACAGCTCTCCTACCGCCCCTTTCCTAGTTCTAGCCCCATCTCCTACTCTCCAGTGATTACAAAGGCTTCTTCTCTAGCCTCGGTATCTGTGCCTATGTTGCTGCCAATTATTCTCTTCCAAAGCTACTGCCGAGAGAGGTCACACTCCAGAGAAACACCTTCAATGACTCCTCATTTCTTTCCAGGTACATACTTTCAGCATGGCATGAATGTCATCTTTTTAGTTTCATATCTTACAACAACCCTAAGCTTCAGACACATCAGATATCCCAAACAAATCTGTTCATGTCCGCAGAACTCTGGTTATGCTGTTCTCACTTGCAGGAGTGTCCTTCATCAAGTCTCCTAGACTCATGCTTAAGACCCAGTTCCAGTCTAGCCTCCACTGCAGACCAGCACCAGCCCTGCCAGGCAGAAACCACCTCCTGCTACACACTCCCACAGTGCACTGTTCCCATACAATGCATAAAGTGAAACTAATGCTTACTAGTGCTTTTACTCAACGCCAAGTGCTGTGACACATGAATAACCTCACTTATGACCTATCTCAGAGCTCTCACCCACCATGTGAAAGCCAATTGTTCTTTTTTTTTTTAAACAGAGTCTCACTATGTTGCCCTCAGTAGAGTGCCAGAGCATCACAGCTCAGAGCAACCTCAAACTCTTGGGCTTAAGTGATTCTCTTGCTCAGCCTCCCAAGTAGGTGGGACTATAGGTGCCCACCACAATGCCCGGCTATTTTTTCGTTGTATTTGTCACAGTTGTTTGGCAGGCCCAGGCTGGGTTTGAACCGCCAGCTCCAGTATGTATCTGGTGCCCTAGCCACTGAGCTACAAGTGCCAAGCCAATTGTTCTCATTTTTAAAAGAGAAATCTGAAGTTCAGAGAGTCCAAGTGCTTGCCCAAGGTTACAGAGGTAGGAAGAGTCAGAGCTGGGATTTGAACTCCTGGGTGTTAGACTGTCCAGTCCACTCTCCCTCTCACATCTGTTCAAGATGTGGCCACAGCTCTGTGGTTGGTGTTGTAAGTGGCCTTCTGACCTGTGAGGGTTGTTCTTAGACTTTTCAGGGCAGGGTCTGTCTCATTTGTCATCCCATTATGCCTCGGTCAGGGCCAGGCACAGATCACTCAGTAGATGTTTGTGGAGCTGCTTTGAAGTGTGGACGTTTGGTGAGCAACCTCCCATTAACAACTATAGCAAAAAAGGCTAGGGGTGGAGTCTTCAAGACCAGTAGGGCTAGCAGAGAGGAAGCAGAGGGGAAGGCCTTGTCCCCCTCTGCCCTGGCTCTACCAGCATTTCTGAGTTGGAGTTGCCATTAGCAGAACTAAGGGAGTCTTGGAGGCCAAAGCTGCAAAGCTCTTGGAGCTCTCTGGGTGAAGGAAGTTCTGGCTCCAGGAATGTGGTCCACCTGTCCCCCACCTGCCTTCTTCCTGCTCCTGACCTTTCTGATGAGCTGCAATGCTAGGCAAAAAACAGGCCATGAGGTGGTGCCTGCTCCCCTGAGAGGACTTGCCCTCCTTCTCTGTGTGCTTGTGGGAGACCTCTGCCCCCTGCTCAGGGCCCCTCCCGCCTCACCCTCAGTGCTGGCATCATCCACCAATATGATCTCCTTCAGTAAGATGGCAGGGGTGGTGTGTAGGACGCTGTACACTGTTCGCAGCAGGGTGGACCAGGCTTCGTTGTGGAACACAATGATGACACTGGTGGTGGGCAGGGCCGGACAACGCCGGAACTTCCGGTCCACACACCTGGAAGGATGAAAGTTATGGACACAGCTCTCCAGGCCCCTAAGAGTTCCAGGCGTAGTAAGGACTTTGTCCAAAGACCCTCCCAAACCACCCTCTGCTCCTTTGAGCCCCCAGCCTACATCCTCTACTACAGTTGGGAACAGCTGCACCCTGTCTTTACGTCCCCCATGTGTGCTATCTACTCTGAGGCTCTGCGCAAAACCCCTCCAAAATCCATCCCCCTTGAGCTGGCTCTGTGCCCCAGCTGTGATGCTGAGGCTCCCCCCACTTCTCTCATCTGCTGTCTGCTACCAGGCTAGGAGTTCCAGGGCTGAAGCTCTCCCTCTGTAACCTGTGTACTGTACAAAGTGTAATCCAATCCAGAGCTCCCAGAGGGGTAAGTAATAAAGGGCAAGTTTGACATATGAGAAAAGTGACTACAATTTCCATACTCAATGAGAGGAAAAGGCTCTTCCCTTCACAATTTACAGTGTTCCTCTCTCTCATTGTCTCATTAACTCCTTGTAATCTGATGCTACTATCACAGTCAATTTCCTGTGACCTTTTTTCTATCTCATCCACTCCAAGCACACTGTGGCACTTGGCCATGCTGCCATCTTTTTGACATTCCAGCTTGGGGTTGTGGGGGGGGAAACATGTGATCCTGAATCTCAAGGATCACATGGCCTAATACCCTTTTCTGACTTCTGCTGTCAGCAAGATTTTTTTTTTTTTTTTGAGACAGAGTCCCACTATGTCATCCTGGGTAAAGTGCCATGGTGTCATAGCTCACAACAACCTCAAACTCTTGGGCTTAAGTGATTCTCTGGCCTCAGCTTCCCATGTAGCTAAGACTACAGGCACCCACCACAACACCTGGCTATTTTTTTGTTGCAGTTGTCATTGTTGTTTTAGCTGGCCCGGGCTGGGTTTGAACCTGCCGACTTCTGTGTATGTGGCTGGTGCCATAACCACTGTGCTACGGGTGCTGATCCTGTCAGCAAGATTTCTTGGGGACCCTCTAGAGTTTCCAGCTTCTTCCAATGGCTGTCCTTGTGCCCAACACATTTCTCTGACGAGAAGCTCATCAGAATCTAAGTAGCTCTTTGTTCCACGGCTATAAGACTTGGTTCATGTTGGAGGAAGCCAGGTTCATATCTCTAAAGAATCATGGATTTGGGAACAAGAACTGCCAAGTGCAAAAAGACCAAAATGTGTATAACTCTCAATTTGGAAAAGACAAAGAATAGGTGGGGAAGACACAAAATGTTGAACTTGAGGACAGTGGGAACACAGCCATGGCTGCAACAGAGTGAGAGGCTGCTGTTCAAAGATCTAAGTGCTGGTCTTGTTGGCCAAGACTGGGAATATAAACACTTCAACTAAAGTTGGAATCAATTCATGGCCTTGTGGGCCTTTACTGGAGAAAACCAAGAAATGCAAGGGTATTCCTGACCCCTAGGCTGCTGTCAGAAAATGTCCCTTTGCCCAGGAGCTCAGTATTAGAGTCCCACAGTTCTGGGAGCAGCCCTCAGCAGAGGCAACGCCACCAAAGCCACAGCCTGTTATCAGTTCCTCCCAGTCAGCCCTGTACCAGCTCCTGGTACCAGGCCAAGTTCCTTCTGTGTCCTCTCACCTTCCTAACTGTGTTTTCCTTTCACAGATCTTCCTGGGCCTCTGAACCCTAACCCCTGGGATCAGAGTTGGTCTGGGAAAGAGGCGAGAGCTTAGAGGAAATTCTTACCCATATTCTAAAATCTCCTTCAGCTCTTTTCCTGGCACTTGGTCTGTGGCCATGGCCAGACCAGCCATTCCTTTGGCCAAGCCTTTACTTTGCCCCAGGACTGTGGCTGCTACTTACTCAGGAGGTCTGGTGTCTGGCCCCAGGGCTCTCTGCAGGGAGATCCGATCACTGGCAAAGGCATTGAAGCAGTGCTTCTTATAGCCCTCTTCCTTTTCCTGGGTCTCCTGGGGGGTCCACTCACTCTTCTGAAATGCTTTCCCATTTGCCCCGGGGCCATTGGGGTCTTGAGGTGGCCGTTCCCAGAAGGGCTTGAGCTCAGCTGGGGTATAGAACCCAGGGAGGCAGGACTGGTTTGCAGAGACAAGAGTCTGCTGAGATTCTGGAGCCCTGATTTGGAGCTTGGGCATTGAATCTCTAATGTTGTTCACAGCCTCCACCATGAGGTCCAGGACATGATCTTTCTGGCTCACCAGGGACTTCAGCCATGGCTTCTCCGTGGCCTGCTCCCTGCTATTTACATCTCTCTGCAGGACAAATAGGAAGAGCACGAAGGCGCTGCCCACCATGGCCAGGCGCAGGGGCATGTGGCGTCTGCGGAGGAGCCTCATCCTCCAGAACCAGTGGGGACCCCAGCCGGGTCAGCTCCAGAGTCCCAGGCCCGACCCTAGAAATAGCTTTCTATGTTGTGATGGCCACACGTTGGAGCCTCAGCCTGGGAACGAAGAGGATGAGAGAGAGAAATGAGCCAAGATAGGATTAGGGAGAAAGTTGGGGTTTGGAGTTCGAGTCTAGACTCTGTCGCTAATGGTGACATCACCTTAATGGTCACATTTTTCCTGGGTCTAGATTTCCTTTATCCATAAGATGAAGAGTCTAGATTTAGTGTTTGTTTCCAGCCTTAAGACTCTGACATTCATGGGTCAAGAGTTGCTGAAATACTACATCAAGATATTTAATCATTATAACCACTTTGGGGGCTGGGTGTAGGGGCTCACACCTGTAATCCCAGCACTCTGGGAGGCCGAGATGGGATCACTTGAGCTCACGAGTTTGGGACCAGCCTGAGCAAGACCAAGACCCCATCTCTAAAAAAATAGCCGAGCATTGTGGCAGGTTCCTGTAGTCCCAACTCCTGGGGAGGCTGAGGCAAGAGGATTTCTTAAGCCCAGGAGTTTGAGGTTGCTGTGAGTTAAGATGCCACAGCACTCTACTGGGGGGCAAGAAAGTGAGACTCTGTCTCCAAAACAAAACAAAAAACACCACCATTTTGGTAAACAACTTGCCGATATGAAGCAAAATTTAAAGTGAACACATTCTATGAGCCAGCAATTCCACTTTTAGTTTTATTTCCCAGATAAACTCTGGTACACACAAGCCAAGAGGTATGTATAAGAATGTTTAGAGCAGCACTGACTAAAATGGTGTAACCTAAAAGTCCATCAGCAATAGAATGAATAAATAAAATGCACAATATCTGTACCATGGAGTTCTCTGCAGCCATGGCAAAGAACAAACCACTTCTCCATGCAACAATGCAGGTGCAATGCTGGTGAAAAGAGCAAGTTGCAGAGGGGATCCATATAGTATGATCCCACTTAGAGAAAATGTAAACACGTGCAAAAATGAATATCTTATTTATGAATACATATATGTAATGAGGCTATCAAGAAAACTAAAGACCTAATATAACCAACGTTTCCGAAGAGGAAAGAAAAGGTACAGGATTAGAGATGGGGGACAGGGAGCTTTGAGGTATTTTTTTCTTGTATCGATTGGTGAACTCCTGGTATTGTTATTCTTCATACCCTACACATATTTTAGAAATATTCTTTCGTATCTACTCCTATTTAAGGAAAAAGAATTTAAAAACAAATCTAAGG